CCCTGATGATGGAGGCGATACGTCCTCCGAAACGTCGGTTTACACAAGATCTACACGGCGCCACATCCCAGAAGACGGCACTCTTCACAGTCACCGCCGTGAAAACCTCAAACTTACAATATTCCTTCGTTAACATTCGTTTTTTACGTACATTTGTTACATGTTTCGATCTAGCTGGATCATCATCAGGCAATTTTCATGAAATGTACACTCCTATTGAATTTTATTACTAATGCGGATCCATATTAGTGGTCATAAATATAAATTTCATTACGATTCTTGTTTCAGTACGAATTTGAATATTAATCTTTAGATGTAAAACGTTATAACTCGGAAGTAAAAAAGTTAAAAATTAAATTGTTTTTTTGTAGTTTCTTTGTACTAACATTCTTTTGAAAAAAAAATATTAAATTTCCTTCTTATTTAAATTTGATTTATTTCGAAAAGCCCAGAAGGAGGGGTACATATCTGGCTGGCTCCCTTCATCTGCTGGAGCCCACTGTTCAAGTCAGGCGTTTCGTAAAAGCCAAACGTATATAGAACTGCCGTTTGATGCCAGTTTGTGGGCTGTTTGCTTCTCTTGGATCCATGGACCTCAGAACATTAAATTTTGTCTTCTTACCGCGAAGTCCCAGGCACAAACCGATTACAATAGAGTGGAGTTTGAGGCAGACAAAATGGCAGCGAGAACCTGTTCCAGCGACGTTTCTTGCTCAACAGTCGCCGCTCCCGACGCATGCGCAGGTCTGTCAGCCTCCCTAGTCCTCAATTCTGGTCTCGGCATTCACTTTGCGTCTCATTAAAATTGTCCCCCTAATTCAGTGTCACGCCAAAACGGTATAGTTCATTGCATATTCGCGTCGCAATGTCTACATCTATCTCTTGAGAAAACCTGATGTAAACAGTTCGTTTGTGATCGATATATCTGTCCGTCAATATATCGTTGAAAAATATATATACTAATTTGCACAGAAAATGCAGAAAATGAATACACTTTCTTCAACGAAAGATGGAGACTTTTATTCTTAAGCTTACAGAATAAAAACTGACTGGATTTAGTCTAAATTCTGGTATTAAGTGGCAAAAGCGTAAGGCTGACACTAACATCCAATAGCGCGTAATGTTCCTCTACGCCCTCTACACATCAATGTTGTTAGTCTATAGGTATTTGTTATTTTGTTTCATGGGGCGGGGTGAGACTGAGTCCACTTGGTACGCCGGCCACTAATTGGCCTACTGTGCCAGCCCCGGGTGATAGATGAGTGCGGACCAGTCCGTAGAATGAGGACAGGGGAAACCGGAGTACTCGGAGAAAACCTGCCCCAGTGCCGCATAATCCACAATAAATTCCACATTACCTCACCTAGGTTCGTACCCGGGCCGCCGCTGTGGGAAGCCGGCGACTAACCGCCTGAGTTATGGCACGGCCTTTAGCTCCAGGCCTTAACGTCGGCACTAGACGGAATGAGTGGTCAGCTTCACGCTTCTGTCGCTTTACCCCAATCGGATAGGAGGTCGGATGGGCTCAGAGCCGGTCCCAATGTAATGGAAAAGCGAATGAACTACTGTCCCATATGGGAAACGAACCCGTATTCCTCGGTTGTCCATGCCGTAGACTGTTTCTGTACCGACTGAGATATGACGCAAGTACCTGAGAGAGAAACCCCTTTCGTCAGTCAGGTAAATCCCAAGATCAGAGCTGCATACCACACATTAATCACTTTAGCGGCGTGACGCCTGTTCGCGGCACTAGGACACGACCTTGCCTCCGGGAGGGGACGCCATCACAATTGTGCTTATGCAATTGGCTGGGTGGGCGGCATGGGAAAATATACAAAGCGGCGCGTGATTATCTAACTTCATTGTGGTATATTTTACACACTGCTGTCAGTATACCAACATTGCATACCGACAATTGGTAGGATTACCGTCCAATAGTGACCCGGATACTGCTGGGAGAGGCGTCGTGCATCGTCTCTGCATGTATGTGGAAAACCCACGAAATAAATCAGTTAGGACAGCTACTATCCTGGCCGAGGTATGAACAAAGAGCCTCCTGAGTAGAGTGTATAGCATTACCGTCAGACCAACCAGCTCGGTTTGCTTGTGCAAGTGTGTGTATGATGTTTCTCGACAGTTTCATCACACAGGTCCAACGAAGCGACGTGTTTTTGCTGATATTTCCGTAGCATTCGTTTTAATATTGTTTTCTTATCTACACTTCACTCCTCCAACTAGCATATACCGCGATTTTTTAAAAAAACAATTAAGTGTCGCTGTTCTCCTTATGACAGCTGAGGTTCTCACAGCTGTGACTATGAATAGTATGTTTCCTTGGATGTGATGCCGTGTAGTCTGGTAGTAGTTAGCAACGTTCCAGAGAAACATCTTCGGCGTCAAAAAATAATTATGGAAAACAAGCAGGAAGGAGGAACCCTGTATTCTAATATGTTTACCGACGTTTCGTAGGAACTTATGCCTCCTATTCAAAGTCGAGGCAAGCAAAAATTGGCTTGAACTTCAAACTTGAAAATTGACGCTGTACGCTCCTCCGAAATGTCGACAAGATCCTGCCAGAACTGACAGGGCGTCACGCCGCAGAATGTATTGGTTTTTATACAGTTCTTATCTGCACAGGTGCTCACTACATGAGGTCTGTTTCGAATGAATATAATTATGTTACTGCAGGGTCCATGGGCACAGAGCACAACGTACGAATCCTTGTAGAGTCTTCTCTGTTCCCTTGTTTTTTCATGTCTCTTAGGCTTAACATTCCTTTCAGCATTTAGTTTTCAACGTCCGTGACTGCGTTCTCCCATCTGAGATCACTGTTAATACTAGACAGTCGGTTCACTCCAACCGAAAACGGAAGCTTTCCAATTTCACCGTACATAAACATCTCGATGCTATAGACCTCTACAGCCGATACAATGCAATTATATAACCTGGGAGTCAATATCCAACACGTGACAGATGCTCTTCTGTTTAATGTAAGGGGTACGTAGCTGGGAAGTGTTGAATTATTTTCTCAGTGACGATTCTGGCGCTTTGCGCATCATAGCCATATTGTAAGGGTTAAAAATTAATTTGTTTCGTTAGTTCTAAGCCACAGATTTATATTATAAAACTAATAAATAAATAATCATTCATTTCATCAATGAAAATTAAAGTGCCTTAATAAGCCTATATGCGAATGTGTAAAAGATAAAAGAAAAAATGAAGCTATCTCTCTAACAGAGCATGGAGGCCCACAGTGTTGTGAGACATCGAGGCTCCCATATTTTCTAGACAATCGGCTCACAGATGGCGGTGAGTTTGTCAGCCATACGCGCCGGTCGCCCTTTACCCTTCAGGAAGATTCCTGGTACTCAATTCTGTTAGAGACTGAGTCGACCCCAGGGCCATAGTGCGGCTGGAAGGATTAGGGCAACTGAAAAAAAAATCCCGTGACCTCATCGGGACAGTGACCCGCGACCTTCCGGCTTGTAGCACAGTGCCCCCCGAATAATATCAGTAAGGCAAAAGGTAAAGTTGTCCCTGTGCTAAAGTAATTAAGCACTACTTCATGAAGGAGTATGGGGGAGTGGACGTATTTTTTTTCCCCCCTTGGCATTACAGCCCCAGTGGGCCTAGGCCTACCGCCATGAACTTCTCCGTTCATTTCGGTTTTTCTAGATCTTACACATTCGGTAGGACTCCTTGGGCGGGTGATCAGCTCGTCGCAAGGCCTCTACCTCTACACAAACACAGAAAAACGCACACACACAAACTAAACATCCATGCCCTGAGTGGGATTCGAACCAATGATCCCGGTTTCCAAGCGAGCGAAGACAGTACATGCCTTAGACCGCTCGGCTACCGTGACCGGCGCAGTGGATGTATAGATCCATATTTTCTTGACTTCTGCACTAGCTGAAGGTGAGTGGTCAGCTTCATGCCCCTGCCGCTTTACTCCCGGGAAAAGAGCCCCCGGTACCCATTGGATAAGAGACTGGGTAGACCCCAGAGCCGGTCTGGACGACATGGAGAAGAGAAAAATCTTGATCTTACCCGGACTCGAACTGCGACCCTTCGGTCGTCCAGCCTGCAGCCAGTCGCTATACCGCTTTAAGTGAATTAATTAAATTATCCCGATTAAGTTAGGGTGATCATTTTGCAGCCTAAACTTTAGGGGTTTTTTATTGCTAGTGGGGTGGGACTAAGTCCCTTATACTGCGGCCACTTCTGGCCTATTGTACCAGCCCCAGATGATAGGTGAGGGTGATTGTGGTGCAATTGGTGGAATGCAGACTGGCAGGGAAAACCGAAGTACTCGGAGAAAACCTGCCCCAGCGCCATTTTGTCCACCACAAATCCCACTTGACCAGACCCCGGGATCGAACCCGGGCCGCCGCGGTTGGAAGCCAGCGACTAACCGCTTGAGCTATGGCGCGGCCTGCAGGCGTGCTTACTATCCCGCTGCATAGTAACAGCCAAGGATGGGACTACAGAAGACACAGATCTTCTACTGTTGCGTGCATGTTGCGGACGTTACCTAGCAACGGCCGCTGATTACAGAGTAACCGTATAGCAACGGCTATACACGCTACAATATTAACAGCTCCGAAGGAACTCTCCTAACAAACTCCCGTCCGTCCGTCCGTCCGTCGCCAGATAAAATTCCGAGAATTAATAGTGACGCCAATTCCAGAATTAGCGTCAAACCCAATACGTAGAGCACGCCATTGCAGGGTCTATCAGTCTGAGCAACTTCTTCGGGAGTTTTTCATGATTTTCCTCAATCGAAAGCAGGTGAGTACCTCAATCAGAAACCATTTCTAATTCATTATACGCTCTGTCAGCCTACCATTCGACATTATTAAGTCTACATACTGACAGCATCATAAAATAACCTTAAGAACCGCGAAATTAAAGACTAAGCAAAAACGGACTAGTGACTCCCGAACACAACCTAGCGGTGGACATGCGAGGCTGTTCTATATACAATGCAAGGCCTGCTTACACATGCTGTCAGTTGAGATTCCACTGTCTTGGCTATTGAGATAGAAGGAAACAGAAATTGCATTACCTGTTGCTAAACAAGTGGTTAATGTGTTGGTGTAATTGGTTAAGGTTAATATTTGTATGGTAAACTTTTCTGTCAACATATTACTACTTAATTCAAATTAATACCGAGTTGTGTGAAGAGATAAGTTAACGAGAAAAACATTAAAATGAGGTGTGTGACAGTTGGCAGCTGCTTAGTGCTGCTGTCCTTTGCCTGCGTTCGTGTTACCGGATCAGCCATTCCAATGTGGGAATTCTTGAGCCGTGGTGAGAAGGTGAGTACTGTTTAAGCGACACGAAGGGTAGGTGAAATTGCTATGGGTGACCGCTGTCACCTAGTTGCAACGACTGGCGTAGAAATTATTTCGCCCTGTATCTGCTGCGCTATTTCCAACACACGGGAAATACTAAATATCTGAAAGCATGGGACAAGACAGTTCCCTCCTGCATTTGATTTTAAAGTCTGTCGCTGTCCTGTTGATTTTTAAGTGGCAGCTCTGTAGTTTCTGTGATGGCAGCAAGTGCTAAGCCTTGAAAATGAAACACTGCTTGAATATGATTTGGATGAACTCATGTACGTGTCATCCGTAATATAATGTAATTCTAAATACTGTCGGGGTTTCCGTGGCACATAATTCTCAAACCGGAAGCAACAAAGTAAAACTGCTTAAGGATTATGAAAATGTAACTCAGAAAGTTGTATTTGGCAACGCTGCATTAGCCACAATAGGCTCATATCGTACTACAGTTTCTTCATATGCATTTTTCTCGACGCTGAGTTGGACGTGATGGACAAATTCCGTGGTATCTGTTCACTTGATATTATGCCGCTTGATTTCTTCCTGTGAGGATATGTTAAGGACATTGTTCACAAGACGCCTGTGACCCCCTTGATGAACTGAAGCTCAGAATTGTTGCGATCGAAAAGTTTGAGTGGCACTGTCCAGTTTCAAATGTCATGAACATCCGTTCAGAAGAGTCTTTTTGGTTCAAGATGGACGAACAGGCATGACGAACATAAAAGAGAGCTTTTTCTTTTGCAGATTTTCTCTGGGAACACGCAAAAAGTGTATAAATAAAATTCGGATCAAAGGCCGGTAAATGGCTCTGGTGTGGTGCACTGACGCGAGTAGTTGCGCACCATTTAATACCAGAATGCCACTGTTAAGTAGGGCTCTGCCGGCAAATCCTAGCTCCCCGCCTCGTGGTGACCCCTGGGCAACACATTCTGGGGTGAGAGTACTGATGTGGCAGACTGTGCGGGGTGAAAGGCGCCTTCAAACGGGACTCTATGGTTAAGGGAAGGAAAACCCTTACAGAAAAACCGAGGGAAGGGGGGGGGTTCTTTAGGCGTGGTGAAGCCAACATGAAAGAAAAACATGGGTCCTCCTAAGTTAAGGGGGTTGGGTAAAGGTTAACAATATCTCCCCAGAAAACATCACTTGTTCAGAAACCCAGTTAATCCTGAAGAGATAGATGGGACTGGGCAGGAATAGACGGAGGCAAAGGTTAGACTTAAAAGGTCCATAAAAGCGAAGGAGAAGAAAGAGGAGGAGAAGAAGAAGAAGAAGAAGAAGAAGAAGGCGCAGTTAAAATTCTGTTTACTGTAAAATTCCTGCCGTGGGTTTCAACACTGTCATTCCGTACACGCATTGTTGTGTGTTACTGCATGATGCTACGTTGCCTGTATCCAGACTACATACGGTGCGATGATTGATGATCGGGAAGGAAACGGTCCTGCTCTAAACGAGGAACTATCCTGATATTTTTCTGGAGGAACTGAGGAAAGCCACGAACAATCTGAATGAGGATAGCCGAGATTCGAACCGACCACCCCACGAATACAAGTCTAGACGGGTACCGGTGGACCAGTTTGTGACAGTCCACACCTGTTACAGTTCTCCGTGGGTGCTACTGTCCTCCTCGCTCATTTCGGAAGGGGTGACTGATTTATTGGCGAGTTATGACTTGTTCCTCGGATCTCGACAGAAGACAACTTCTTGAATTCAGTTTTAATGACCGGAAGTGGACAAGGTCACCCCGGGAAACAAGTCCGCAGTAGCGTTCTGAAGACGTGATTTTTTTTCTACATGCGCAGTTGTCATAATTTGTCTTCGGAAGGGTGTAGCGGGACCCTAAACTGAAGACTGTAACCCCTTTCACAAGTGGGGGCGGGAACTGCTTTGTTCTCAAAAGTCGTTATGTGATTGCATAATGACTTTGGGTCTTCAAAATGAGCCAATAGGAGGCGAATTTTTGTCTGGGAGGGGATGTCGTAAATTCAAATCCTTCTTAGGGTTGACGCGACGCTCCCACAAGATACCTGACTTGTCTTAAAGTGATCGTAAAAGTGATAGAAAAACTATTACGTCCATTGCTGCTGTTTTTCGCCCACTTTCCTTAGTCGTGTGTTTCATTTTTCAAATATGGTTGTTCCAGAAAAGTTTAGTAAATAACCAGAAAAGACGGCGTCTTTCGTATTTAGTATCAATAATTGAAGTATATCGATTTCGTCTCCAAGTGAAACCAATAATGTCGTGACGTCACTGAGATGAACGTTTTTAATTTACCGGTATGTTTTCAGCATTAATCTAATAAAAAAAACTAAACTCCGTGGCTTGAGTCCGCAAGAGAACTATACCGACAGAGCGACCGCCACTTATCGGCAAAGTTAGTGCCAACTTTAGCGGTTAGAGAGTGTCGCGTGGTCAGCGCAACAAATCCCCACGGCCGTTAATCTCGATTTTCTAGACCGGAGCCGCTATTTCCTTGAAATAGCTCCTCAATTACCCTCACAAGGCTGAGTGGACCCCGTTCCAGACCCACTACTTCTCAGAAAACCTAGTAGCACCGGTAATCGAACCCGGGACCTCTGTATCTGTAGCCAGGAACTCTGACCACTAGACCACAGAGGCGGTCCAGCATTAATCTAATAGCCTGAAAAATTTATAATACATAATAGAAATTTTCCACGCCTATCTTCATTCAAATGAGTTTCGCGGCGAGGCGCAGCGAGTCTGACAACGTGCCTCTTAGGAGATCAGCTGTTTTCAAGGTTCTCAACTCAGCTTTCTGTCTGCTCACTTCCCTGTTGCTGCAAGGTGTGTGCATATTTTCACGCCCCAATGACCTACATGCTTGCAAATTTCAACTCTTCGTGTACGTAATTTGTAATTTTAAATAACTTCGCAATTTTAGTCACAGAATCTTCTTCACTATAATGCTACGTAGATAGCACGATTTTAACTTTACTCAACGATGGATATGTCGGCCAAGTAACTTCTATGTTATCGAGTTTTTTTTTTTTGTGAAAGTACTGTCGCAATTTTCTAACAGGCTCTCCATCCCACAAATTATGCCAAAGTTGCCAGTTTGGACGGAGTCACATACTGGAATAATGAAACAATTCAAACGACGTAAGATTTGAGGCTTTGACGGCGGTGACTATGAAGAAAGCAGTCTTCTGGGATTTGGCACCGTGTATATGTGGTGTTAACCGACGTTCCTCCGAAACGTCGGTTAACACCACATATTCATTCATTCATCAGTAATCTGTCAGACGACAGGTCCACAGTCTCTTCCAAAAACAGTTTCTCCTCTTAATGCGATCTTCTGTTTTTGGAAAGAGACTATCCAGGAAAAGTGATAATGTGGTAGTTTTTCCATTTGCTTTCCACATCGCAGTACAACAGCCGTTCAAACCACTCTGGTCACGCCTGTTGCTATACGAACTTGAACCATCTCGAGCATCATTTGCTCTGTGCTTCAAGTCGCTGCTGATGACGCTGCTTCCGGCATCAGTTTTTGGTTTTTGGTGTCTCTCTTCGTCTGATGCCTACCCTTTGACCTGTCCAGCAAGGGAGGCCCTGCCAGTAGCTACGCTACCGCTGGTATAGCTTGGCATACTCAAACCCCCTCACCACGATAAGGTGGAGACACCAACGACGGTGCCAAATCCCAGAAGACTGCTTTCTTCAATTCAAACGACGCTTCCAGAATGTGGTCTTCTGGGTTGCAGCGCCGTGTAGTTCGGAAAGGGCCCAACGTTTCGGAGGAACATATCGCCTCCATCTTCAGGGTCGAAGAGTAAACCACAATACCGCGCTCTTCATGGTTACAACCGTCATCACACCCAGATACGAAGGCACGTGGAAATATGCTGACAAACTTTTTGACTTAATCTTCATTCCTGTGTTTCCTGATCTGTACAGTGGTTCCTCCAGAGACTGAACGCACTTCCCGCCGAGCCCAATGTAGCGGGGAACAGCTGAGGGGCACATCGGTAGCCTGACAATGCATACCACGATGCACTTTGCGTCGAATCCTCTCACGAATCGACATAGCTGTCAGTGATTGGCTGCTCGAGTTCGGTTGGTGGCTGTCGCGTCTACACCGGCCACGGGACCCACTCGGCCATCTACTGAATGAGAACAGGGAGTTGTTTACCTGGGATTAAAACAGCCGGAGCCTGAAGCTGGCCACTCATCTAGTGCCCGAATTAGGAATGCGTGACATCATACGGCCACTGCCATACATGTCTTCATGGAATGGTGCTTACCATATGAAAATCTGTACCTTTACATTCACTCCTCTGAAAGTAGATATCCCTATCCGCAGATAGGGATTAGCTCTATCGATTGGGCCCAACTGAGTAGGTTTTTTCCTGAAGACGGACACGGAATCCAGTCTCCGAAACGTCCTGTTTTTTTATATAAAGGCAGGACGATGGACAATGTCCAGGAACATAATACAGTGCGTTCAGTTAAGGAGGAAACTTCGCAACACCGCTGACCGGGCCCAACATTCCTCACAGATTGCTGCTGTAACTGCTGATAGCAGAATGAGTCATTAGCGCTGATAAACGCGCGCCGTTACAGTTACAGTAGCAATCTGTGAGGAATAGTGGGCCCTGTCAGCGGTGTTGCGAAGTTTCCTACTTGATTGAACGCCCTGTATTTGTGTTATCCACTAAGAGAGAAATGGCAGAATGAAACGCTATGACACAGACTGGGTGACTGGGTTCAGATTCCCTGTAGGGACAAGGGTTCATCTCTTTGGCATCACATGCAGATCGAAATTGGAGCCCACCCAAGCAGAGCTACCTGCTTCACGCTGTTCCTTCCTTGGCACCTTCTTCGATTCTGGAGGTGGACGCGACGTGTTCCTCCGAAACGTCGGTTGACTTCCAAAGGTCTACAAGGTGTTACATCCCAGGAGACAGAACTCTTCATAACCACCGCTGTGAGCAACCCCATTGCTACACCTGTCATTTAGC